AAACGTGATCAGCCGGAAAATGAAAATTTAATAGCATGACGTTCAATCAATTCTTAGATGCAGTGGGTTTGTCAGAAAATAACTATTACAATCCATCGAGAGCATCAATTAGTGACAATGCTGGAAGTCGAGTGTTTTTAAAGAGGGAATGTTGTGGCTTGTGGTGAGTAACTACAATAAAAACTTACTCAGAATCCACAAAGCAAATATGGACATCTCATTTGTAATGAATGAATTTGCCTGTGTTGTATATATTTTGGGTTACATAACCAAGAACCAGAATGGCCTGAGTAGATTACTTCATCAAATAGAGGTAGAAATTAAAAACTACTCAGGCATGCTTGTAAACAGACCTGATGATCTGTAGCAAGTTTCATTGGCATAATTTGTCCAGGCCTAAAAGATAGTATATCGCTCTAAAACTGAACAGATGGCCAACAGCCACATGAATGCAAATGATGATGAAGATGACACTGAACATTATAAACCAACTAGTAATGTCAGATGGTTAAAAACAAAAAGGGGCGATTCAGAAAAAATCGTAAAGAAACCATAGTTCGATACTATCTGTCCAGAGAGAATGACATAAAAAAGAACACTTTTGGTATTGTTCCATCCATTTTGGAATGAAATGTTGGAGATCCACAAAGTAAAAGGCAATAGTGTCAACGATGTCTATGATCAATACAGAAGTGCTATAGAAATCATTCGAAATGAATTTGAGCCGTGCAGGAAACTATTATTGGATATGGAAAAAGTCATGAACCACTTGGAAATAAATGTGAATCAGGACATTGACTCTGATGATCTGTTATGCAAGAATCTTTAAATGAAGATTATGAATATGAGGATGAACTGGATCATTTTATGCGACTTTTGCAAGGTTCAAAAGCTGACAGCCAGACGTCACTAGCTTATCGACTATCTGTCTGTGATCAGAGAATCAGAGTTCAGGCTAGTACAGGCAAAAGTTTCCTCATGAGAACTATGATTGAAGCATCCAAACTGGTGTTGATGAATCCTGGAGTTGATTTATCAAAGCCAAATGTAATGTCACCAACTGCCTCTGCAGCTAGAATCATATGTAGAAAAACAATTGAGAGTGGCTTGAAGTTCTCACGTTGTGACAACATAGAATCTTTTGAAGTCTTTTTCAGTATTGCAAAATGCAGATTTGAATATCAAAACTTGAAAACAATTGTTATTGACGAAATTTCAATGGTTGTATCAAATAAGCTCCACCAGATACACGCAAGGCTGGAAGATTGGCTCGAAGTAATGTAAGCCATTTGTTGGGCTTTTTATTGTTGTCACTGGATATCTGTCTCAATTACCACCTGTTCAAGACAGCTGGATATTTTCTAAGAAACAATCCACGCAGATTGATTTCACTGCTCCAAACAAATGGAAACTCTACTTCCGCATGTACGAATTGACAGAGAAGATGCGACCAGTAGATGATTTAGAGGTAGTATTGCCTAAAACGAACTAACTGAGAAAGACAGACAAATCCATCTGAATCGTTTGGCGACTGCTCAAATGAGAACAATAACGATGCAAACAAGACTGGTCAACTAGCAGTTATTGTGACAGATAACATAAAACGTGATGACTTCAATTCCACAATGCATTCCACTGTTGAAGGAGAATTGATGGCTTCCAGAGCTAGATATGTTGGAATGAACGTTTCAGAATTCTCACAAAAGGCTGTTGACAAGCTCGCATACACTAGAACTGGTGGTCTGCTATTGTATCTGGAGGTGCAGAAAAACTGCCCAGTCATGCTAACAATGAATTTAAAACAGGACGGTCTCACTAATGGAGCTCGGGGATATGTAATGGATAAAGAAGAAAAAATAATATGGGTGAAATTCCCAGGCCAAATTGGCTCAAAATCTGCCACAATCACACACATCAAGTACAAACAAAACGGGTCTGCATGATATGTTCCCATAACCATGTCAAAAGCCTCTTTTAAACTTGGTACGAAAATGGTGGTGTTTTCATCCAACGATAACAGTTTCCTCTCACACTTTCCCATGATATAACTGCAGAAGGCTTGAGGACTAATATTGGATCAAGTAGTGGTTGATTTCAGCTCTGATAAAAAAGATCAGGATTATTCTATGTGGCTGTAACTCGTGTGAGAAGATTATCTGACTTGTACTTGAAATATTTCAACCCAGGTATGATTAAAGTAGCAAAGTCGTAAGAGATGAGTTCAACGATTTGGGATTATTATTTTCTCAAAGTTATTTGATACAAATTGTCATGCATAATGTAGTTTTTACCCAAAGTGAGCTGTGTCTGTATGTGTCCGTCACTTCAACTATTATCTCAAGAACCAATAATCAGAAATAAAATAAAAGTAAATTAAAAAAAGTACACATGAATTGGATTTTGTTTTGGCTATGAACCGGAAATAAAATGACTAATGTTATTTTTGGGCTTTGCTTGCAGCTAACACACCATACCACTTCAAAACATTTATTTGGATTGGTGAGTTGGTGATTTTATTGTAATTTTTTGTATTAAAATGGCTAACCTTAAAAAAAAAGTTGCTATGCAACATTTCAAAGGTTGTTTGTAATCCAAAGAAGCCAACAGAACAGTTACTGATACATTTATGGCCAAATTGTCTGATCATGGCATCCCACCAAACTCTACAAACTTAAAAAGGATGTAACTAAACCCAAAAGTTAAAGCAAGTAGGTCATCTGTTCTTGTCCCGAGATGTGTTGTGGATGAATTAGCCAAAGATATTCAGGAAATTGAACATAGTACTGAATGTAAACTAAAAAAGTGCAGCTCAATAGCAAAAGAAGTCTTCTGAAAAACAGAACTCAAGAGAAACATTGACAAGAGCAAAAAAAGTCTTATCAATGAAAACAAAAACAACAGTCGGCAAAAGTATTCAAAGAAAAGCCAAAATGTAGGTCTTAAGAATTGCAAACAATATATGTTTGAAAAACAAAATTCAGCATTTAATTGCAGAAAATCACCGATTGAAGAAAGCAATTTCTATAGTGGAGATGCATTTCGAGAATAGCAAAAAGGAAATTGAAAAAAAAAAAGAATGCAGTAGTTACGAGAATTACGGCAGAAAATCACTTAAGTTATACAAGAAAGATATTATTATCAATCAATTTTGGAAGAGGAGACCATGCATATTAATGATGAGATATCAAAAACATACACCCCATGCAGATAAGTGATGTCATTACTGAAGTTTTATTATTGTGTGGCAAACAGACAAATATATTACCAGCGAGAACAATAGACAACATCATGGTTTTGAGATTGTATGTTTCCACAAACATATTGCTGCTACTCTACCCCATGCCATGGATAAGACACGCAAATTTGGCCTATAACACCTATGTGGTTACTGATGAGGAAAAAGCTTATGTACTTAGATTACGTGAGATGGAGAATAAATCATCACACTCGCTGCTCCGAACCTTCCAGATGATGCTGATGGACATCAGTGAAGCATCAAC